ACATCTCAATCAGAGATGGTTAACATGACCTTTTTGTCCTAAGTGATGGAGTCTGCATTGATTTTAATAATTTGCTCAGGCTTTTCTCCATATTTCAATGTCCTGGGAAATAAAGCTGTCATAGCCCAAAAAGCTTTCAGATTTCAGGTAGCTAAGAAAATGTTAGGAAATATTACATTTATTTCAATTTAATTTCCTCTCCTTGTTAATAAGAAAAACTAATTAGGTATTTGGGATTTTTTTCTCATCCTAAACAAATACTGTCCCATTTGTCCCTACCACTAGCAGGTGCAACCAGAGAGGAGAAACTGTGCACCTACTAACAACATGTCTAGTAACTTGTGGCTCAGATAATCAGAGAGAGAAGGGAAGAAGCAGTTGGCACCCCAGGCAACACAATGCTGCCATTTCTTAAGAGAAAAATGGGGAATGTTAAGGAAAAAAGGTAGAAGAAGGGAGGTGAGAGACATGAAATAAGGGTTGGAGGGGTGCAATTATGACAGCATGTATAACCAAGGGGGAAGTTGCAGTCCCAGGGAAACAGGAGGTAGAGACCAGCAGCACAGTTACATACACAGAACTGGGTTTCAAATCTGGGCAATCTCATCAAGTGACCTAACCTCACTGAGACACCATTTTCTCAGGGATTATGGCACCTACATCATAGACTTATTGTGATAATTAGATGAGATTCTAATTAGTGACTATTTTAATATGTATTTTTTAGTTTTTGGTGGACACAGTATCTTTATTTTATTTTTATGTGGTGCTGAGGATCAAACCCAGTGCCTCATACATGCTAGACAAGCTACCATAAGCCACAACTCAGCCCTAATTAGTGACTCTTAACATTGTCTAGCTCAGTGAAAATACCAGTAAGCAGCTATGTCCATGCCTCAGAGTGGAGCCACAATAGTGTGACAGAGAGCCCCCAATCCTCTCTGTCAGTGGTCCCCACATAATTGCTGCCTAGCTCTGCATCTTTACACTTTCATGAGGATGGAACTGAATTCCTGCCACCAACACACCCCACATCCCTACATTTAAAGACCATGGTAAACAAGAAAAACTGGGAATGTTGGTTGCCTCTAGGGACAGGAATGGGTGACTGGATTCAGGCATGGGAATACTTCATTGTATCATTTTTCTTACTTTTTGAATATGCGAATACATTGCCTATTCAAAAAGTTGGGTAAAAATTTTAACTGCAAGGACCAAATTAGTAGGAAGCCTGAGGCCATGTGAATCAGAAGGAAGAGGCTACAGACAGCAGCAGCCACAGCAGCATTGGGAATGCACTTGGGAAAAAAAAAGGGCAAAGAGGGCAGACGTGGCAAGGGATCATCAGTTAATTGGGGTCCGTGGAAAAGAGCAGGGAGATTCAGAGGCATGTGTACCTCAACATGACAGGAATCCTCCAGGAGTGGCATGGGATGACTGGACTTCACAGAAAAAATGAGCTAAGTGTCCTGCTCAAGTTCAAGCTGCTTCAGTTACGCTGGGCATTGTCATTGGAGTATAGGAGAAGAGGAGAGGCTCACAGCCTGAACTATCCATTTTGAGTACCTGTGCTATAAAAAGAAATTTGCAGAGTCCTTGGGGGTGGAATGGAGCTGTTTGTGGCTGCATCTCGTTTACTTCTCAGCACTTTGGGCATGGTATTATCCCTTTTTAGAGATAAGGGAACTGAGGTTCAGAGAAGTAAAACAACTTGTCCGAAATGATGCAGAAAGTATTGGAAAGAACTAGGGTTTGAGTCCTAGTCTAGAATCAAAGCCCATGCTTTTTTTAGTCTGAGACACTAGCCTCCCCACAGCCTCTCCTAATCTGGGCACCTCTTCAAAGGTAGAAGCAGCAGTGCAGACGTTCAGAGTTCCCTGAGGAGGTGAACAGTTAGGCTGGCAGGAGGAAGAAGCTGGGGTGATAAGGAGGGGCCTGGGATCTGGTTTTGGCTCCAGCCCTAGGCTGGTCTCGAGGCAGCCAAAGTATTGAGGACCTGAGAGTGGGGTAATGGGGGGACACATAACCAAAAGGAGCAGCAGGCACAGCAGTATTGGGAATGTGCTTGGGAAAAAGAAAGGGCAAAGAGGGCAGATGTGGCATGGGATCATCAGCTAACTGGAGTCCATGGAAAAGATCAGGGAGATTCAGAGGCATGTGTACCTCAACATGACAGGACAGCTTAGGGAAACAAGCAAGGTCAGTAGAGGGAGGAGGTTGCCAAGGAGCTTATACTTGTATACTCTCATGGGGAGGGAGGTGTTGATTACACGCTTATTCCAAATATAACATTAGTACCGCTAAAATGTCATCTTTGGAACATGCCTTAAGTCACCTGTAATTTGTCCATACAGGCAGTAAACCCCACATTGATTCAGATGTGACTGTGGGAAGTTAGTTTTCTATTAAAGGCGATACATCAATAGCAGCTAATAATTTTTGTTGGAGAATGGACTCTATTTTGGAAAATAGCCAAGTCTGATGCTGTGTGTCCCTGAGCTCACTATCCACATGTCCCTTCATCCACCCTACCAGATAGACAGGATGGGTTCAGCCTGATGTAATTTGAACATGGTCCCTGAAGTCCTTGTGCCCTGAAAAGCTGCATATTTGCCCACACTGGTAACAGCAGCTCTGGAAGATAGAGGCTGGGCAATGTGAGCCAATGGGGAGGCAGTGGCATGTACATGTCCTATGCTATTTGGTGTGTGTATGAGGGGCAGGATCCTGCACAGAGTCAGATCTGTCTTCCCTCCCCTAAGCATCCAAAGGGGATTTCAGCCATTAAATGAAATAGCTCAACAAACATATTCAAGTTACATCAAAAAGAGAAGGGAGAGGAGAAGGGAGAGAAGAAAATAGTGAGGGAGAAGTTATGACACAAGTGATAGAGGCAAGCACTACAAGTACTTTGGAAGTGCTGTTGGGGTAGGTCCAGTCACCCCGAGTCACCAGGAGGCAGGCCCAACCCAGGAAAAGACTGTAGAGAGGCCGCATTGGCTAGACGCCCCCCAGCCATTAGATCTCAATACAAGATCACTGAAGGGAAACTGAAGCACCTACCAATGAAACAATTAGTATCTGACGTATGCATCAAACTGATTCATGAGCTGATGTGTGGTAAAGTTAAGGGGCGGGCATATGGGGGTTCATTATGCTGGTATCTTTACTTTGGATTATTATGCTTGAAATAACAAATTTATAATTATAAGTAAAAGGTCTCTTACAAATGGGAGAGCTATGAAGGAGCCACATGCCCAGGTAGGATACTAGCAGAGGAACGTAAACCCAAGAACAAGCAGGAATCCATGAGAATTTGCCTTGGGTTTTCTTGTCACTGCAAGCCAGGAGTTCCTAACCTGGGAGTGATGAAGGAGCATCCAGGATCCCTACTTCCTGAATTGTTGCCAATTGACCAGAGAGTTTTCATGGAATCAGTGACACCCCACAACCCCCTGCCCTGACCCCTGCCCCAAAAGTTAATAGATTGCATTCTCTTAATTTGTTGAGAATTGTTGAAGTTGTCACCCTCTGGCAGATTCAGTGACATTCAATGATAAATATCCAATAGAAACCATGGGTTTGGATAGGTTGAGGCTCAAAACATATAGATATCCCCTGCCCCTTGCTCCCCAGAGAATTCCTTAAGAAACACCTTTCTGTTCCTTGCTAGTGTGATAGCCAGTCTGACATCCAGCCCCTGGCAGCCAGTTCTTCTAAGAAGTCCAGCTTCCCAGAAAGGGCAGAGCAGGCTGACTGACCCCTGGGCTCACAGCCTGGTGGGCAGAGAAGGGAGATCAATTTTGGGGGTAGTGCTTCTGTCTTGAAACCATCTCTACATAGAAGTGAAGGATTTGGCTGAAACATGAAGGTCTCTTCTCTACAGGCTGATCCTCACAAGTTAGAAACATGGACCTGGTCCTCTGGTACTGGGAAGAGAGATGGGAGGCAGGGAAGGAACATAGGGTCCAAGTATTGTTCTGCAGGTGGGGCTCTGAGGTCTGCCCACCCCCCACCCCCAGTTCAGAGAAGACAGATGAGGAAGCCTGAATCTATGCTGCACTCTCCAAGGAGGAGGGCCTAGACAAACACCCTGGTCTCCCAGGGTTGTCTTCCCTCCCCTAGGCATCCAAAGCCACACAGCACCCTGCCCCTCATCCTGGAAAGTGGTGGAAACCCTTGGAAGGAATCTTCCCATCCCTCTACCATCTTGCAAGGCAGAAGGGATGGGGGATGCCGGGGATAGGGAGAGAAACAATGAAAAAGGTCTGTCCCATGAATGGCTCTGCTGAAGGCATGTGGCTGGTGTGCCTCTGTCCAGGCTCTCCTCAGGAGACCTGCCCCTCCTCTTCACCAAGCCCCGTTTCATGTCCTTCTTCCTTTAAAAACACTCTTTTCCCCACCCCTGGGTGTTCTGGGTTTAAATATCTCCATGTCTAAGTGTGGGATAGGCAGCACTCCAGGAAGCTCCCCAGGGCAGAGCCCCAACCTCTCCTTCTACAACCCCCTCCCCAGGATGCTGACCCTGTGGCCATCATGCAGAATCTGCGCTTTTCTCCATCCAAAGTTTCCATGCAGTGGAAGGTGCAGGACCAAGGGCCAAAGGCTCAGTGGCATCTTTGGGGTTGCATCCTCACCCTCCTTTTATCATTGTCCCTTCTTCCCTCTACCTTCTCTCCCAAGGTGTCACACCACCTTGCCACCACCCCTCCCCCTTCCCCCCAAAAAACTTGTTCTTACTGTTAGGTCAGGTGGCCTTGCTTTGCTCCTATCAGCGAGTGTTATATTTGGGCACTGCAGTCATCTATGCCCAGAGACCCCAAAGAATGGGTTTGCACCCATCACCTTCTAGAAGGAGCCCCAAGCTGCTGAAGATCACAACCAGGGCCTGTGTGGCACACAGATTTCAGGAACAGAAAGTTATTTCCAGTGGGCGAGTCTGGGGACTGGGAGGCATAGCTGGCCAGAATCAGAGAGGAACAGAAAAATGAAAAAGAGTCTTTTTTTTTTTTTAAACTGTGCTTTATTTAGGGCTAAGCTGGAGAAAGCGTCATCCAATAGTTACAGAAGGTTACAAGGAGTTTTAGGGAGTTGAGTGTGAAAAGAGCAGTTGTACCGAACTGCAGCTGTTTTGTTTTGTTTTGTTTTTTACAACATCTGGACATCCTAAAAGGAGGAGTCAAGAGAAAGAAAAAGAAAATTAAAAACATGAAAAAAAATAACAAACAAAATAGAAAGGAAAGGAAAGACAAGAGGCCTGACAGGAACCAGAAATTTGTTCTTCTAAAGGAAAAAAAAAAAAAAGTGATAGGTCCCAGTGCCCCCCTGGTCTCCGGATGAACTGGCCATCAGTAAGGAATTATGGAGGCAGAATGCCAACGCAAGTCTTCCCAAAGGTGCAAATAAATTATAATAAATATGATATACTTTAAAATATATGTGTTCTTAAATAATTCAGTGTATTTTCTGATTCTGAGTTTTTAAGCAATGTCTTTAACTGCTCTAAAGTCATTTACCAAAGATAAATATCGTGCTTTCATTAAATAGTTTTCCTTGTTTTTTCTCTATCATTACAATTAAAAGTCCTACAAAATATGCAAATTTATTTACAGAAAAACAGAGCCGGCATCATTTAAACATCCCTGTTTTTCAAAATTCCTTGTAAACAGTTTCAGAAATTCTTCAAAGATTGTTTATTTTTCTCTCTCTTTTTTAAGGTTTTTGTGTGTGTGTGTGTGTTGCCTAGTTGTTTTAAGATGAAAGTTCCCAGTTCTCCCTTGCCCGGAAAGTCTCTGGATCAAGCAGGGAAGGCGAGTGAAGCGGGAGGTGTCCAGGGCTTGCGGAGAGCGAGCGCGCAGCTCCCAGAGCGAAGCGAGAGGCGCGGGCGGCGGCGGCGGCGGCGGCGGCGGCGGCGGCGGGCGAGGGGCCCTTCCCGGCTGGGTGCACGGCCTCCACCGCGACGGGCGGCCGGGAGCCCGCAGGTCTGGGAGAGTCCGGCCTGGCCCTCGGGGACAACGGCGTCCGACAGCACTCGCGGGGAGAAGGGATTGATGCTCAGTCTAAACTCTACAAAAAGTACAGTCCTACAACATCTGGGATTTTAGCAGTAACGCTAACTTCTATAGTTTTTTTTTTTTCCTTTTTTAATTTTTTTTATTTTTTGCTTTCCTCTAATTTTTTTTCTTCTATTATATAGGTATTTTAAACTTTTCCTTTTTAAAATTCTGTACAACTATTATGATTTTTAAGAGGGGGAAGAGTTAGAAGCATTTACAGACTTTTTCACAACAATTACCTTGTCTTGGAAGATCCTTTGTTCCCCTCCTTGTTTTCCTCACACTTCAGGGTTAATAAGTTTTCATACTTTTGTTGCTTTCCCCAAATATCCACCAATCTGTGCATCTTAACAGCTCCATCCAGACATATAATACAGAAAACCATAGGAAAGTTTCATAGACTTCAATGAGGGTAATCAAAGCGCCTCTCAAAGTATCAAAGAACTATTATCTTGCTGTTTTAAAAGCATTGAAGCATTTTTTTTCATTTTTTGTATTTTTTGTATTTTTTTTTTGAATTTTTTATTATGTTTTTCATAGAATCGCTCTAAGCTGTTTCAAGAACAGCCAGGAGGCAGGAAGGAGGTAGTCCTCCATTCCTCCTCTATTTGACATAGAGCTACACATCTGCAATAAAAAGTTTGGTCCTTTGGTCCCTAAACAGCTAAAGGAATGACAGATAGAGATGCTCAGTGGCAGCCTCCCAGCCGCCCCCTGGGGACCAGGCCCCCACCGCCACACGCTTGCCCCCGCCTGCCTCAGGCGCCCATGGGCTGGAAAAGCCCCAGGATCGGTAAGCAGCAGCGTCTTCTCCCAGTGCCCAGCCCTTCAGCCTCCCCGTCTGGTCTCATGTTATTTTGTTTTAAAGTTGCCTTTTTTTTTTAATGTGTATATGTTTTTCCTCATTTTTCTTCATTGTCGTCTTCTTTATGTCATGTATATTTTTCCCCCAAACACGTTCCCTCTGAACTCCATAGACGTTATACTTTCCTTGAAGAAATGTTACAGTCTCAGAGTGTCTGGAGTCTTCAGCTTGATTGATATTGGCTGATATGTCAAAGGTGTCATCCAACAGTTCTCATTTATAAATAGAGAGAGAGAGAGGTTTGTTTTTTAATGTAGCCCGTTCAGCATCCTGCCCTAAAATGAAGAAAATCGGGGCTGATTAAGCCATGAGGGAAAACACAAAATGCATCCAAACACCAATAGGAACCTGCCTTGGGGTAGGATGGGAACTCTGGGGGATGGCAGGAGGGAAGGAAGAGAGACCAGTATGAGAATTAGTCATGATCATGATACAGTCAAAAGAAATTTGCTCTTCTATTCAGAGTAAGAAACCACTTGGCGGTCTAGTGGCGATGGTTGTAGCTGAGGTTTAGATGTGGGGAGAGAGTTCTTGATTTGGGTTCCTTTAGAGTTCTGGATTGAGGGATGGCTATATCTAAGGGAAGAATTTGGGACAGTGGGATGTGAATTCATAATTAAACTTGTCCCTGAGGGATCCAGCCCAGATACAATATGTATACAGAAGCCTAGCAAACCAGAAAGCAAGAATTGAACAACCTAGCCAACTCCTCCCCAGCTTAAGGAAAAGAAGGAAGACAGAGCCAAGACTCGAATTTTGTAAAATCCTTGCCCAGTTTCCAGCCAACCACTTCTTTCCCCAGATCAGTAACTATTTGCGAGGCTGCGTGTATATATATATGTATATCTGGATATATGTGTAGAATATATTCACCTGCACATATGTGGACATACATGGATATGTGTGTATGTATATGCACATATACACACATACATAATACTTTTCTCATACATGCCAGGGAATTTAAAGGAAATTCAGAACTTCCAGGGAATGGATGGGAGAACCTAAAAAAAGGTCAGAACAGATTTCATTATAAAACTTAAGTAAATTAACTCAGACAGTTCTTGATTTTGTTTCAAATGGTGGCTTTTTGGTGTTTTGCTTTTAAGAAAAAAAAATCATGATCTGACTAGAATCAGAAGGCAAATGCTTATCGTTGTGAATTAACAAATGAGACTCATCTCCATTCTAGCAAGCAGCTTCCACTTATACATGGGGGTGACTGGTTACATCAAGAAAGTTAGAACTGCAAAGCCCCCAGTCCAGGGGACAACGTCATGCGTATATCAATCCATGCTGGCAGGTTTTTCACACTGTTGATTCAACAAACAGCAAACCGTACACAGCAGTCTAAACAATTACAACACCAAATAAAATAATAATAAAATTAAAAAACACTTGTCAAGGACCCTTTTTCAGTTGTAAACAAAAAGGTGCATTTTGCTTTTGTCAGTACTGTTTCTTCCAAACCAACCAAAAAAGCCCTCCCAAGCCCCCAGTCCCCCGCTCCCCTCCCCACATTGAATTTAGCAGGAGTAGCTATAATACAAACCTTATAATTGTTACTGGGCTCTCTCTCAGAGGCCTCTGGCTTTGTACTCTAGTTTTTGTTTTTTTTTTTTTTTTGGTTTAGAATTTTCTTAAAATCATTTTGTTACTATAGATATTACATATTTTGGTTTGGGTTTTGGTTTTTCCTTTTGAGGTGAGATTTAAAATAGCCTAACTGGAAAAAGACCAGACCTAGGAAAGTGTCAATTGAAAAAGGCCCCCAAATTTCTAGAAAAAAATAAAATCACAATATTTTCAAGTGCAAGTAAATCAACCACGCATAGATATTTTTAAGATGTTTTCCTTATTTTTAAGAAAAAAAAATAATGGTTTGCATAGTTAAATGATCCCATGTTTGATAATTCAGGAATTCATCTTTATTTTTACTAAATTTTTTTCTTTAGTTTTTTTTTTTTTTTCTCTATGTGACATCTAGAGAAGCATAAAAAAACGCTGAACAAGAAAAACCAAACAACAGAAAGTAAAACCACTGCAAGCACCAAGAACGAAACGAAAATGAGCACAGCAAAAAAGATCGTGGCAGCACAAAAGTCAAGAAAATGCACGTGTGATCATGACTGGCCAATCATCCACGGATACGACATCCAAGAAAAACGCTCCAATCACAGCACCTCCACGAAACTTGACGGCAATTGTCATGCAACCGATTCTTAGCCTTGTTACATGACGCCATCATGTCACACTGTGAACTTTGAGTTGATTTGAACTTACGGATGGGGGACTTTTCTCCACTCTCATGTGATTACGTGAACTTTATTCCTAGCTCAGCGCGAGACTGTGGTGGATTTGACTGGCCCTGGTTGGGTTGTTGGAATTTGATTGAATGACAAAAGAAGAAAAGATTTTTATATATATATATATATATTTATATATGTAGAGAGAGAGAGAGAGAGGACAGGAGAGTGTGGGCAGGGAGGGAAGAGGAGGGGCAGGTGGGGTGGGGTCGGGAGTGTGGGGGGTAGGGAGAGTTGGGTTGAGGGTGAAGAAGGGCAAGGAAGAAGTTAAAACAAAATCGAAAGGAAAAATATTTAAACAGCACCAGACCACAGCATCAATCTAAAAGCTCTGATGGGAGAACAGCAGTCAAATCATAAGGGAACTGAAAAGAACTCAAAGGATGGAGGAGCCCGCAGACGGACGACATGGGCACAGCAACGCACACACACATACACGCACACGGCTGTTTATGCAGACACATGATACACTGTGAACAGCAGCAGAACCTCACACAGGGCCACTAAGGGCATCCATCATGCGTAGGGAAAAGGAAGAGGCACAGGCAGTTTGGCAAGAGGGCCAGGAAAAAATAAAACAGCCCCTCAAACCACCGTGGCCAGCAAGCAGATTTCAGGGAGCAAGCTCTCTGCTTTTAACACCCTTGATTTTTCTCCCCCAGATGCTGAGCTCTCCTTGGCTCCCTGGCTTTCTGTGGCTCCAGCCTGAGGATCAGCAGTGGGAGCCAGTGGGGTTGACCCTGATTGGCAGGGATGGTTAAGGCAAGTGCCACAGGAGACATTTGGCCACCATAGTATGGTATACTACGAGCGGCAGCTCAGCCCTCCAGCCTGTGGATCCCAGCCCCCACCCTAGGAAAAGGGTCTTTAGGCGGCATGAGCACGCACAAGGGAGTTTTGATCCCCTCCCCTCCACTTTGATAACACCTTTTTTCCTCAGAACCTTCGGAAAATGACAATACTTCATTCTGAAATTTCCTAAATTACACTTATGTTCTTGGAATTCTATCAACAGGCCTAGGGGGGCCCTACAATTTCATTTCATGGTTACCTCATACCCTTTGATTTGTTCCCAAGGTGGCCTAACTGAGGCTGCTTCAGGGCGTGTGAAGTCCTTCAAAGGTTCTGTAGCTCTGACCCATAAAAGGGTCACAAAGGAGGCTTCAGGTACACCACAGAGTGGCACACCAGAGAGGGTGGCACAGTGACCCTGCATCTCCAGCCCTTGCTGCTCTCACTTTGGCTCTGCTGAGCCCCATCCACCCTACTCCTCTTCCCCTTTCCAGCCCACCCCCTCTCTCTAGCTGGCCAGGTCTGACCATTTTCTCTCCTGATGGAGCCCTAATGGTTGAGAAATGAGATCCTCTCTCTATCAGACAAATCAGGTTACTCAGCTTTGAGTTGCCATCTCCCTCATTCACCATCTCATGATCCTCTGCCCCCACCCTAGGATTTGGGGTCCCCAATTCCAACCTCATGGTTACTCATGAGCTTGTTCCTCATCCTGTGCTCTTCTATGCACTCAGGCCTGTGCCAAAGCCTACGTGCCTTGAATTTATTACCAGGGTTTCCAATCTACCAGGCCTCTCCATGCAGCAGACTTCCACTTTCAGTTTTTTGTTCCATTAGGGTGAGTGGGAAGGGACCCCTGGGATCTTACAATGTCATAATAGATAAGCTGTGCAGTAGCTGAGCAGTGACTCTACTTTGAGTCACTGCCTCCAGCTCAGCCATCACAGAAGCACTCTCCAATCTCCCTCCCTCCATAGACTCCCTGTCCTGTCTGCCCACCCAAGCTGAGCTCTATCCTTCCAATATCAGATCTCCCTCACCCAGACAAAGGCCTATCACATGCCCACCAAGTCCTGAAATGTCCCTCTCCTCTGCACCTCCAACCCCTCCCAAAAGCTCTTAGATCCACCCAGTATGTTGGCAGTTTCCTTTGGTATGAGAAAAGAGGCCTATGGAACTTAGAAATGTATTGCCATCAGGTGTTAGCTCTGGCAACTGCACCTAAGGGACAATCTGAGGACTCTCCTCCTTGCCCTCCACACCAGTCCTGGGTACCTCACAAGCATTCACGCCTTCCCTGTGCTTGTTCCTTTTCCCTCCCCCAGTTGCCTCTCAGTGCCAGGCACCATGCTGAGCACTGGAACTGAAGTCTCAAAACCCAGTGTAGGGAACTCTCTTGAACACATCCTCATCTCTCACATACACTCAGTACAGCATTCAGCCCCCAGGAGCCTCCCCAGCATGTACACAGCTGGCTACCTGCTTCCTCTGCCTGTAGGGGCAACCATTCCCAGCCACTCTCTGGGGTGTCCTATAGAACACAGCCCTGGAGGTGGCAGCGGGATCACTAACCAGCATGGGGAAGCTTAGATCAGGTCTAGGAAGTTCCAACTCATTGATCTGGCTGAGGAAATGATGGCCTGGCCCAACCAATTCAGATGTCAGGTCTTAAAACATCTGGGTTCTAGCCAGAGAGGGCCCAGGCCCAAAGCTACAGCTTTGCAATGCACAGGTCAGAGAGGGGCACCTGTACCTGCAAAGCTCACTCCAGATACTGTGCAAAAGCACACTTGCAGTCAAAGCCCAGGGCCCGGGAGACAGGACTCCCATGGAGTCAGACACACAGCTTGATACCTTCTCCAACCCACAAAACCTCAGGACGAGGATTCTGAGAACCGTCCTGCTATTAAGGTTCAGTATGTACTAGCTAACCTAGTGGCAGGAAGGGATTCAGGGGACAGTCTTTGAGCTGGGCAGAACCTTGGTGGGAGTGTTCTGACTGTTGGCTGTGAACCTGTCACATTGACGTTATTGTTTACTCTTCCTGCGTTAGTTTCCTAGTAAGATCTCCAGAGGAACTCCCATCTTAACACAAGACAATGCTTCAGCTCCTACAACCTGATATCAACTGCAGCTGAAGTGATCTGCCAAAATGCAAGTTCTTCTACCAGAACTCTCCAATGCCCCCTCCCATCTCAGAGGAGATCAAAGTTCATATAATGGCGTGCAGGCCCCAAGTGGACATTCTTTCTTAACCCACGACTCTCTTGCCATTTTCTTGGCCCAATCTCCTAAATTCCTTCTGCCTACCTTGGCCCCCTGCTGCTCCTTGGCCACACTGCCCCTGACCTCACCTTGGGACTTACATACTGGCTGTGTTCTCAGAAAGAGGATGTCTGCACACAAAGACTACATCTTTGTTCTAATGTTACCCTTGCAATGAGGCTGGCCCTGGGCACCTTGACCACATGATTTAACTTTAGTTAACAATTCTGACATGCTAGGTAATCTATTGTCAGCCCCCTTCTTCTCAGTCTTGGTCACCACTGCAACCCTAACAGTTCCTAAAGTACCATACTGCTGACTAGATGGGGAACAGAGTGTGGGAAGCATCCTGAGTCAGTAGAACTCAAAGGTGACCTCCATTTCTGGTCTGTGAGGACTGCAGTAGCAAACAGCACCAAGGAAACTGGCTGAGGTTGACTTTTGATGGCCTAGAACATCTCCCCATATGCCCTTCTCAGGAAGGCTCTGAGAAGGAACATTTGGCCTGAAAAATGAGTGGCTGACTGCTCCCAGCTGCTAAGCAGGCCCCAGCCTGAGCAGATGAGGTGACAACTCATGACCCAAGTAACAGGGTAAGGGACCTCAGTGCTGTGATACCAACCCTCCCCAGCTTTTGGTCCATTCTGTTTTGTTTCCTGGTAAAGTTCCCTTTGAAAAATCCTGCCTCCTCTGTCCTGACTGAGCTACAGGCAGCTGGAGAGATGAGGGGTCAAAGGACTAAAGGCTGCAGGCCCTTCCCAGAACTGAGGAGAGGAGAGCCAGGAAGTCTGGGAGAAGGCCTCAACCTGTGGCTATAGCTCTGTGTTTGCCATCTGCCCACCCCAGGGTCTGTGGCAAGAAGAACTGCCAGTATAGGCCTTGTACACTTTCCCAGATGACTCCCTCACTCCTGCTCCTCTTGGCCCCACAACAGGGGACCACCTTGCCCATTTCTGCCAGGATGACCATAGCTCTGCTCCTGTCCTGTAGACACTAGGCAAGGAGCAGGTTGAGGCAGGCGCATCGGGTCCAAGGCACAAATGAGGGTCAGGCCCACAAAGGCCCAAGAAGATGGCGGGTCCGTCTGATGCCCGCTTCCCAGACCTCCCGTTCCCACACCCCGGTAGCCCCCGGTTACCTGTGCGAGTCCTGGTCTCCCCCGGGGGACGCTCCCGCCGGCGCTCAGTACGGGCGATTGGCGTCTTTGGGCCGCTTCAGCTGCACCTTGAGCCTCTTCATGCCGATCTGGAAGCCGTTCATGGCCTGAATGGCGGTCTGCGCGCTGGCCGGGTTGTCGAAGCTCACGAAGCCTGGCGAGACACGAGGGACGAGGGCCTGGGTTTCCACGGGGCCGCCGGGGGCCGCTCCCGGCGGGGAGGGGCGGGGGGAAGAAGGCCGGGCAGGGGCGGGGCCGGGCTCGAGGCTCCACCCCGGGGCCCCGAGGCTCCTCCCCCGGGCCCGCCCCGGCCCAGCCTCAAACCCAGCGGGGCCAAGTGCCCGCGCCCCTCGCCCCCCTCCGCCCGCGTGCGAGGGCCCCTCCCGGGATGGACGTTCCAGAGCCCCCCGGCTTCGCCGATCTGCGCGGCCCAGCTGGCGCGCCACACCTCGGCTTTGGGCGGCGCCACTCTTGGGGCGCCCGCTCTCCCACAGGGGCGCCCGCGGCCTAGCGGGGCTCAAGAGGCGCCCGCCCCCCACCCCGGCCGGCCCCGCCACCTCGGCCCTCTCCTTCGGTAAGAGAGGGCGGACACACCTGCGGGTGGAGGAGTTTATTGGACACTGTCCTCCCTGACAGGAGGGGGCCTGGCAGCGGGAGGGCACGGGGTGCCGGCCTGGGGAGAGAGAGGAGTGCGAGGGGGCGGGAGGGGAGGCACCTCGGAGAAAGCTTCTCCGCCGCCTTTGCCGGCCGCCCCCCGCGCGAGTGCGGCCCAGCCGTGGGCCGAGGGCCGGAGGCTAGGTCCTCACAGCTCCTCGGTCCCCACTCCGGCCCTGCCCCTGCCCGAGGCTGCTTGGCCGGGCCGACTTGCATTAACCAGACCGACTTGCATTAACCCACCACCTGGCCCCCAGGGGTGTCAGCAGCCCCATCCACATGTGTAAAATTCCAAGCCCTGGGAGCAGGTGCTCTTTCCCTGACCAAGCATGCGCCAACTGATATGTACCCCACAACCCCTCATGAGAACTCCAACCACCATAATAGTAGACATTAATATGATTACTAAAACAGTATGAGTAAAAGTTAGAGACTACTTTGTATGGGGACTACAATCTCATTCCAGAGTTCCCAGACACATCAGGTTCTGCTGGCTCACAGTCCTAAACAAGCAGTTCCCAGACTGGAATGGGTGGTGTTCCAAAGTGAGTTCAAAAGTCACTTTCAGGAACTTAGAATGTATCTCCTCATGCAGACAAGACTTCCCATCAACATTTCCCAAACTCCCAAACTGAGCCTTGAGAAAGGGCTCCTGTGGCCAGTAGGTTTATAGCCAGGACCCTCCCGGCCAGTTCAAGGAATAATAAATAAAAACATCCCCTCTCACTCCAAGTTCTCCAGTAAATAAATCTCTATAGCTTCGTTTCATCTAGTATTTCCTTAAATTCATTCCACTTCAGATGACTTTCTCCTGTAAAATGGACTTAGATCCTGCAAAATGTGAAATCCAGCTTGGTGAGATACACAGGCTATAGGATGTGCCTCAGTTGGGGTGCTTGTCCCACAAATGGCCATTAGATAGGTAAGAGACAGATGCACCACTAGACTACTGAAACAGAAGCTATCTTCTTAGTTAATTGTGGCACTGTAGGTGTGCTTGCACCTTTACTCCAAGAAAGTGACTCCCTCCTCACTCTTCCCACATGGTAGCTCTTTTTCCCTTTTTACCCCAACCCCAGACATCGCCTCCATCTGTCTCTTTTCTTTCTTTCCTCTCCTTCCTTTGATCAATTTGTCATTCAGCCACATACCATCAAAGATGGGGGAAGAAGGTGTGTGTGCATGTGTGTCTCACTTGTACATGTGTGGACACATGAGTGCACACATGTGAATGCTGCCATAACTGGTGAGAGCTAGGAAAAGCACAGCAACACCAACATCCATACAAATCTATATACTAAAGTAAATAGAAAAGATTGAGGATTATCCACAGTTGCCAATGAACTTCTGCTTCCTGTCATCCTTTCCCCCACTCCTCTCATCCCCTCCAGGCCCATCCCCTGATGACTATAGTCAGGTGCCTAGCAGACCAGAGCAATATTTGGGTTTATACTGCTCTCCTCCTGACTAAGGAGGATGGTTACAACTAAAATTTCTGTCTCTGCTAAGACAAAGTGACCTGACTGTGGGTGACATGCTCTATCCCTTACTCCTCTGCTTACACACCCCTGGCACCAGCTCTACCTTGACACCTGGAGTTCGTGGATCTTTTTGAGGTAAAGAAATGAGCAAAGCAGAGAGAATGGAGAAAGATAAAAGGGAATGAAGAGGCTGTCTGTGGTGAGGTGTAAAAGAAGAGCTAGCCACCAGGTGGGAAGGTTCTGGAGGAAGGAAGAAACCTAGCTTCCTGAAGAGTTTATAGGTATCTGGAAACATTGGAGCTGGGAAGGATTCTGGGTTGAAGAGAACTTTTTTCCCTCACCTAGTTTTGTTAACTGGCCATCTGCCCACAGACTGGAGACCCCTGTGGACAGAGCTCAGTGCACTCTCCATTCACAGCACAGTCTCCTTTCCCCTAGAGTCCCCTGCCCCATTCCCACCTCCCAGACACTGTGGAAAACCTCACAAGTAGGACATCCTCCTAGCATCCCCCAGCCCTCCTTCCAACATAGGGACCATTTGTGCAGCACATATCTTCATGAAGGCCTCGGGAATGTTCTGCTTATAAATTCATTCTGATGCTTATCCAGAGTACAACCTTCAAGTTCATTTCAACACAGGACCACATTTGTGGCAAAAATGGCAGAAGAAAAGGGATGGTGGTATTTCTGAAGGGTCTGCTCTGGCCAAGCCTCTGCTATAGACCATCTCATGGAACTTTCTCAGCATCCCTGAGGGTGACTGCAAACATCCCCATTTCACAAAAGAGGATCCCATGGTTCAGAGTGTTTGGTGACTTGCCCATGAGTGAGCACTGGAGTGAGGGTCTCACAGGCTGGGTCTGTGGGAGAGTGGCAGAAGGCTATGCTGTCACTGCCACTGCTGGAGTGAGTTGGAGAACTCAAGTGACTAAAGGAGGAACAGTTGGCTGGGCCAGTGTCGTGGGAACCTGTCCTTTCTCAAGGCCAGAAGACATTTAGTATGAGAGTTTGAGAAGAAAAGAAAGAGACAATAGAAGTATACAGAGGATGATTTCTATGAAAAGCAGAAGCAAGTCCTGGTCCTGGATATCTTAAGTGAGCTAGTGGCCTTAGTGGGTACTGCTTGGGGCAGATTCTGAGGAACTGCCTTTGAAAACCCAGGCTATGCCACAGGAACAGTGCAGATATGCCCAGATGTGACAGGAGAATAAGCCTGGATGAACTTAGTGATTCCCAGGCTCCTGGCTGTTTTGTTCTCATTTACATAATATTTGGATCCTATTTTGAAAGCAAATATAACTGATTTGCACTTGGTAGTTTTTACATATACCACTATATTCATAAGGAGAAATATCCCAGACAACCGAGTAGTACACCCTGTCTTTCTTTAGCTTTTCATGCCCAAAAAGAAATGAGCTACTGGGGCAACTCTGTGCCATCAAAGGACCACAGGTTTTCTGTGGCATCTGCCAGAGAGGAGAGGACAGTGGTACAAGATTTGGGGAAATATGCCCTGAATTCTCAAGTCCTTCCTGGTTCAGGAAAGCCAGTCTTCAGGCTTCCAGATGTTTTTCCACTGTGTATTTCTCCTCTCCACTACCCCCAAGCTGTGACCAGGGTTCCCTAGCCAACACAGGCTCCCACACTCCTCACAGCTCCAGAACCTGGGGGGTCTATCAGGAAATTCTGGTAGACTCAGCTATGGTCCCATGTATGGCTTCCTGGGGACTATACTACTTAGTCCTCAAGGGCTCATGAATGGATCTGGCCCTGAAAAGATGGGCTGATCAAAGTAGAAGAGGAGGAGGGAGAAGGACCAAAGAAGGGCAGAGGGGAGAGGTGTGGGGCAGAGGGGGAATTCCATGAGGAGGTCTGGAGTTTCCTGGTTAGGGTTGTCAGCTTTACCAGATAAAAACAGGATGCCCAGCTGAATGTGGATTTCAGACCAGTGATGAATGTTTTTTTAGTGTGTTATCCTCAATATTACATAGGACCTATCACATGCAATATTTAGGACATACACTAAAAAAGTATTGTCTATGTGAAATTCAGATTTAACAGGGTGTCCTGCATTTTATCTGTCAGACTCCTGGATCCTTCTAGGTCTTACCTCTCCCATCTAAAACCCTGCCACCAAGTGAGTTTCCTGAAAGCTATAGTTCCATTCTCACACCATCTCCCATGACCTACCACCAATTAAAGTCTCCTCATCAGAATGGCCAGAGACCTCCCAGCATAAATTCTCCCTTGCTGATATCCCAGAAGCCTCCTGCACCTCTTCCTTGCCATTTACCCCTTTCCTCCCAACCCCACGTCTCTGCCAAGTCTCTCCTTCTGCCTTCCTGGTCATTTCCTTGTGTGGTGCCTCGCAGAGCTCACTGCAGCTGAGTGGCTGTGATTTCCATCTGGGCTCAGAGCTTAGGCTTCTTGGGGAAGTGACCAGTCTCCTCCTGGCTCCTCAACAGTTCTCAGCTCTGTTGGCTTTGGGTGGGGTGGGGGATTCACAGCATGGCAGGTGGGGAGCAAGGAACAGGTAGACAGAGAGGGGGCGGCAGGACAGACAGGCAGAGAGCAGATAAGGGGCAGGCAAGGTAGGGCCTCACAGGGCTTTGACCCCAGGGGTCAGGATGGCCACTCAGATCATGAGAGGAGGGGCCACTGGGAGAATGGATGTCCTGGGCTCTGCTCACTGCCTCTCCCAGCCCTTCCCAAAGTGGCCCCTCCTGTTCTCAGGGGATGGCCTTGGGCCTTTTGGCTGGAAGAGGAAATCCATTTCTTGGGCTGGGATGTGGGAGGTGGGAGCCAGGTAGAGGTGGGTAGGAAAGCCGAGAAGCAGAAAGAACAGGGGAAGTCAGAAAAGGGCTGAGAGATGGAGGCTGGATCCAGGAGCACCTGGGGGCGATGCGAAGGAGCAGGTGAGGAGCAGTTGGACACCTGTAATTGGTGCGAGCAGCCCTGTCCTAGTGAAGCTAATTGGTTTGTTATCTTTACCCACCAAAGCATTTACTTTGGTTAGTCGCCCGATCCACAAACACTTTCGAGGAGATGACATTACCGAAAGGGAGGAACATCTGCATCAGCTCAGCGTCCCCAAACTCCTGGGGCAGATGGTAGATGAACAGGTTACAGCCCTCGGGCCCTGCGGTGAGGGGAGGGGGTGGGCGGGGAGGAGGGATGGCAGGGTGGGGGAAGAGAGAGACAGAGGAGAGGTGAGCGAGTTAGGCAGCGCAGCGGGGAGAGGTGGGGCAAGGTTAGGAGGAGGGGTTTCATTCAAGATCCAACGGGTCCCCAAAGAATGGGGTTGCTGAGCCCCAAGTCTGAGCTCTGGTCTCCACTCTGTCCTTGGGCAAGTCTCTGAACCTCTCTGTGCCTCAGTCGACTTTTCTGCAAAATGGATCAGTAACATGGGCCTGGCATCTCTGGGGCTGGGGTGGGTGGAGTCGATGAGAGAATGGGATGAGCATGCCAAAGCTTGGTCAGCTGTGGAGAGAGAGGGGCAGGGAGGTTTGGGGGCTCCCTCCTGCTCAGCCCCTGCTCTGGGGAGGGTGAAAGGAATGGCCTGGGCAGCAACATCCTGTGCTGGAGAGACACTTTATTTTCACAGGCCTAGCACAGACTGGCCTGGAGTGCCCATGGGTGGTGGCCTGGGTTCAGTCACCTGACCTGCAGCCACTCCTTCCCATCTGGCCATGGAGGCACAATTGCACTATGCCACACATCACACTGTCTCCTAGTCTTGAAGGCAAAAAGCCAGATTTCCCCTGCTTCTTCTAGAAGGTGACACAGGAAAAACTGCACACCAAGGTGCCACAATTAGCCAGGACACCCTTGAGCCTCATTCCATGAAACTTTCTTCATCTCCTCACAACAGTAACAGTCCTGCCAACTTGTGCAGCATGAACATGTGCCAGGCTGTTCTAAGCACTTTCTATGTATGTTAATTCACTTCATCCTTAGAGCAACCTTGTGACTTAACTACAATGTCATCACTACTTCATAGATGAGGACACTGAGGCCCAGAGAGGTTAAGTCACCTGCCAAAGGACAAACAGCTAGTGAGGGAAATGGGGACAGGATATGAATCTAGGCCATGGCCTCCACAATGTGTATTCTCTCTCTACTTGTCATAAAATCTTAACTTCTCAGATGCCCTGAACACTTGGAGGTCTTTGGATTCATGAAATTTCCAGATAGTTAAAGATTTCTTTTTGAATAGTCAAAATGCTTGATTTTAACTCTCAGAAATAGAAATCTTTTCAAGATGCATGGTCTGTTTCCTTCCATCTTAAATACCATGTGTCACATAGCATTTAACCCTTTGAAGTGACTTGTGATCATTGCAGTGATGATGATTTCCACCTCTGGCTGGTGGAAAGGAGACAGCTACACTGAGAGCTGTGTAAGAACTGGGGTTCTGATCCGAGCCTGGTGGAAACCTAAGCATGAGCTTAAAAGTGAGGGCTGTAAGGCACCAGTTTTTGTGGCCAGAACCAACTGTCCTGGTTCTCTGGGACCAGCGAGGCTGCCAGATAATCCAATTTGGGGGCAAAGAGTTCACCCTGGATTCTCTCTCTTCCTTCTTTCCCTCCTATCCCCTCCTACTCCCCTCCTTCCTCCTCAATCTACCTCCACCCCCTGGAGGCCCACAGCCTATAGAGAGGACTACCCTGCCCACTGAAGCCACCCAGCTGAGCCTCTGACTTCTTTGGTCCCTGGTCCCCACATTCTACCCACCCACCCACTCAGGCACTCTGCCAGAGAACGGCGCATTCAGAACCAGGCGCAGATGTGTTCCCTTGTCTCCCCGAGCTCTGCTGGCCCTCCTCTCCCTGTCCCCTCTTTGTCCCCCTCCCATCATGCTGTGTTCTCACTAGTGCATGCCATGTGAATGTACCCCTTGATGGTGCCCAGGTAGATGGATGCTACCTTGGGGCAGGAACCATTCTTGAGGTTCTAACACCTCTTCCAGCACCCATACCTTCTTTTCCCAAGAGTACCACTGGCCTCTCCCTTTGGGTGCCCCCTGAGTCCATCCCCCATGCTCTAAGGGTTGGGGCTCTTTCTGGGAAGTTTTTTTCTCCTACCAGGCTGGTCACTCCCTAGAGGTGGGGGCATGTGCCTTCTCCTGTCCTCCTGTTCATGTGCCCTCTGTCCTCCCTTCCTATTCCCATTCTCACTCTTCTGGGCTTCCCTGATGGCTCCACCCCGTGCTGACACACTCCTCAGACTCAGAGCCCTTGCTCCAACTCTAAGTTCTGCAAGCTGTTTCATGAGGAGTTTACTTCTCTTCTTCTTAAAGAGACAAGGAGCTTTCAGAGTCAGGGCCACAGGCTGAGTCCCATCTGCATGGTGTATAGCTGAGTACCCAGGGATGGCCTTCTAGGTCCAGCCTGGGTAGGATGACAGACAGCAGCTTCAGTACCCCCAGAAGTGAAACTACACCCCCTTAAGTCCTTCTGCTTTTTCATTAAGATTAGAGAGTATCTATATGGCAGGACTAGCAGGACCTTAGAGATAATCTGGTTCAACCCAAAGAAATGGTGAAATGGCACTTCAGAGACAGAAAGCGACTACTACTAACTACCCTGCAACTCCTGGCAGAACTGCACTTGCAGCCACCACCGAGGGTAGCCTTGTTCTGTCTGTGGAGCAGGTGGCCTTCGGGGATTCAGGCAACTGTAGGAGGATCCTCCCCAACAACCAGTATATTCTGATATTCAGTGGTGTTCCACAGGGAATGGTGGCCATGATATAAGAGGACAACCATTGGTGAAGCAGGAGGAATATGCCTTCTTTCTTGTTCAGGCTTCATACAATACCATGGGATCTGGCTTTGGTCAGACTGCAGCCTACCTTTCTGCCTATCTCCTGGCCCCAGGCTCACCTCCTGCTTGGCAGCATCCTTTGCTCCTGCTGACCCCTGCCTGGAATACCTGCCTCCCTACCTCTCTGTGCTGAAGACCTCTCCCTTCCTCCAGCCTTCCCAGAAACCCACACCCAGTGTCACCATTTCACCTATGCATAAGTGAGGCTCTGTTGGTTTCTGGGTTTATGTCCTACCCCACCCCAGCCCCACTCTCCTGGGGTAGCTTGGCCTGTGCACCATGACCAGGGAGAAAGGGGTAAAGCAATGAGAGGGGCTGAAGTAAGAAGCAGCCCACGTGGCCTGGTCTAGGGAGCAGGGAGCATGTGTGTCTGAAGCTGCTCAGAGATGGAGAAGGTATGAATTCAAAGGCAGATGCAGAGGGGTAGGTGGGGAGAAGGGCAGGATGTGAATGTGGGACCAAGTTAAAAGCCAGCAGTAGAATCTTCATGTGTGTTGGGTGAGGGTTGTACTGACCTGAAGTTCTGCGCACACATATGTGTGTGTAAAACAGGATTCAAAGATTTATGAGCCCACAGGCTAGAGTGACACCGGGAGCTGCCTACAGCCAGAAGCCAGCATGGTGACAAAAGTGTCAGGGCCTGTGGACATACTTCTCTGCTCTAGGCCTGGGCCAGCCCCTGTGGCTCTGCCCTGCTTGGTGAAGGCACAGGGGACGGCAGAGGCAAAGCAGAGCCAGGGCCATCGCAAGAAGGCAAGGCTGATGGACCATTCCTACCCCACTTCACTGAAGGGGGCTCCAGGTGTCACTTAGCTGCGCCAGGGCATGACAACTGAGTCTGTACCTCTGGGTGACTATAGCTCAGCTCTCCTAGGACAGAGAAGTCTAATGATGCAGATCTCAGGAGCTGTCAGCCTGTGAGCTAGGATGGCACTCCTCTTGTACAGTTTTCAGGCAAGGAGGGGTGACAACTTGGTATAGGAAGGGCTATGTGCAGATAATTGCTGCATGAAGTTCAGAGGGCAGATCTGAGCAAGTTTGACTTTCACACCCCTCTAAGAAATGGTCCTTACTGTCTTCATTTCTGATGAAGATGCTAAGGGTATAAGAAGGTTTGTCTGAGGTCATATGAGGCAGAGCTGGAAATCAGAGGGTTTGCTTCAAAGCCCAGGCTCTTAATTGTTCAAGCTCTAGGGCTTTCAAGTGGCCGGTCTCGCCAAAGGGATTTGGACCAGCAGATGCCCCAGATCTTTCTGAGTAAGCTCTATCCCATGGCTCCAAGGCAGTTTGCTGTAGGGGCTATGAGGTGGGCAGTGGGAAATACCACCATGTGGGCTGCTGGGACAAACTCAGTGGCCTTGCTGCCAAGTGAAGTTCCCATGGGGGGAGAGAAGACAGGACCTTATTAGTGTTCCTACACCTCAAGTTCAGCTATCTGTGTGCAGGCCCCCAAGGAAGGGCTTATTAACCTAGTCTCCTATCTTTCTGCTTACAGGGATCACTAGGCACTGGGATGGGAACACACTGAGTGTTGTCATTCAGTCCCTGCCACCCAAGCCAGTGGACCTTACCTGCTTTCGGGGTTTGCATCAGGGTCTCTAGGTGTGGCTTTCAAGAACCCCCATCCTTACTAGGCCTGAGTAAGGCCTATTGCCTCATCCTGCCTCATCCTGCCTATTAAGTCCTACCTGGGAGCCACACCTTCCTCTCCTGGTCACCCAGGGCACAAGGTCTCCTTTCCAGGATGAACAAGAATGTGAAACCCCCAGCCATGAGCAAGCACTTTCCTGTCCTTTCTGCTGGCCAAATCCTGCTTACCAGGGAAGGGGATTCTTGGACTCCACTTCCTACAGAGCATCACTTTCCTCATTTTCCTGACCACCTTGATTCTTTCTCAACACCCACAGCTCTCAGGGTTGGTGCTGCCAAAGCTGCCACACAGTCTCAGCTCCTAGCTATGCTGTCAGTTCCCTGGGAACAAGCAGTGGGACCTCAGATGAAGACCCCAAGGACAGGCCCCTATGTTCTCAGTAAAGCTGGGTGCTTCCTGGGGCAGGGGCCAGGATGCCACTGAAAAATACAGAGGCTATGTTGTTCAGGGCTTGCTAGGGAAGGAGCAACCATTCTCAGGATTTTTTTTTTCTTTAAAAAACCAAGATATCAGTGTGTGAGTTGTGTCATCCCAGTGGCAAGTGATAGAGGGGAGTGGGAAAGGTGTCGCGTGCATGACCCACCAGCCCTTGGTGCATTCTGTCCAGTCTCCTGTGCTGGGCCCGACCGCCACTCTGGTTTGAAGAGCTGACCACAAGACGTGCGCCTCCATGCCCGGATAGGAGAGTGCCACATCCCATAACCCTGCTGCCTTCCCTCACCCACCTCCTCACACACACAGACCAGATTGCCTTTCCAACCAAGGCCATGGCCAGAGGCCCAGGTGAGACCAGAGATACAGGTGAACAGTCTCTTTGGGAAGAGGGGCAGGAGGGGATGAGACTCACCTTCTCTCTGTTGCTGGGGAATCATTGGCGGTGGCTGAGGAAAAGCCTGGCTTATCTGACCATAGGCAGCAGGGTAGGCGGCTGCTGGAGGGCCAAAGAGAAGAGGCGAGAGAAGACAACAGGAGGCAAAGAGACAGGGTGAGAGGTGGGAAAGAGAGAGATTTCAGTGTCAGGCAGTAAAGGCTAGCCGGCCAGCTGGAATGTGTTATCTCAGTTGCTTCAGAGGAAGCAGCCTTCAGTCTTTGGTACCAGCAAAGAAGCACAGGATGAGGACTGGAGAAGTGTGTGCATATGTGGGGGTGGGGTGCACTTGGGGGGTCAGGCAAGTCTAATCTGCAATAATGGATAGCCATAGCTGATCTGCCTTCACTCCCTCTCAGAGGGCACTTGTGTGGGAGGTGGGGAGTTGCCAGATGTGTGGACCTGGCCTCTAGGGAACCTGCCAGAGGTAGGCCCCAGTTCAAAAAAAGCAGAGGTAGGACAGTAAAGTCCAACATATCCCTCTGCCTGGCCTGGTTCCCTCAGGGGCAAGGTCTGACATAGGAGCTAGGGAGGGCTCCAGGACCAGTGAGAGAGCTTTCTTTGGTCTCTAGAGGAGGAAGACCAGCTTTCCTTCAGTTCTCATCTCATCACTTACCCTCAGGGGAGACAGCACTGGCTCTTCAAAGCCAGCAATGAGGTAACCTCACCAGATCGGACAACAGGGCACAGGCTGGGTGGGGATGAATGGTTGGCTGACCGCTTGATTTGGCTCATTGGCCCCAGGCCATCTGCTGGCCTCAAGCTGTCTCTTCTCACCAAACACACACTATCTCAGGCTCCATTTTCTCCCAGCAAACTGACTTACTTGCCTGGCTGGTGGAAGCTGCTTCCTTTCCAGAGTCCCTCCTTCTCTCCAACCCAGGCATCTCTGCTTCCTGAGCCAGTGATTGTGGACTATGCTAGGCAGCACCCCAAGTCTGGCCTGGCCCCCACTGCTGCTGTGCAGCTTGGTGCTCCTGGGCAAAGGTGAGTCCAGAGGCCCAGGGGAGCAATCTCTTTGAGGAGAGGGGTTCGGAGGGGCTCTGCAGTACCCTGGCAGTACCACAGGGAAGAGAAATTGGGCCTCAAAGACAAGTAACTAAATTCATCTCATCTGGGGTTCTGCCCAACCACCATTACCAGTCCACCCTGCCATGCCAGGAAAACTGCACCGAATGCTAGGAGGCCTGAGAGAGGGAGTTAGCCCAGAGAGGGTGGGGGTGTGGAGCCAGTATAGCCCTCCCTCCTTCCCCTGAGGACCCTTCCACCCACTCTCCCCACCCCCATGCAGGGCCCAGGTCTGGGGTGGGAAGAGGGCATTGGTGCCACGGGCGTGGAAGGATGAATGCAGCCAGGAAAAGAGCCGAGGGGACGCGTGGATACTAACGACCTGCATACTGCTGCACTCCCGCGTAGGCCTGCTGCAGGGGGTCCGCGGCGGTGGGGCTCTGTGCTGCTGGGAAGCCAACGGGCAGAAGTCAGTGGTGCGCACCCAAACTGGCCCCTGCCCCCACCATTCCAGGGACAACATAATAGTTGCATTGCCCCTTCTAGTCACTACATGCTCACTAGGGCAGTGTCTGGGACAGGGGCGCTGAGTGCTGGGCCCTGTTGGAGGTCTCCCTTCCAAGCCCAGGGCTCCTACTACATTGCCCTCCATAGTTGGGGGAGGCATGTTACAGCTGGATTAGGTGTGGCTGAGATAGGGGCTCATGCAGAGGAATATGAGGATTGGGGAAGAGAGGCCAGAGGAGGGCTTGATCACCAGGGTCTTGGTAGGGAAACACATGAGCTCCCACCAGGGCTGTAGGGCTGGAATCTGTCAGAAGGGGTTCATCCTCACTGATCCTCAGCAGAAGCCAGGGACAGTAAATGAAGAAAAGCCTGGTAGATGTCATCTGGGTGAAAGGCCACTGGGGGGCCTCACCCTGCCACTCTGTCCTCCTGGACCACCCACTCCAGCTCAGAGGGACCCCTCCCTCATTCTTTCTTTTAAAATTTAGTTTATTACATATGCCTCATATATTTTTATGTTTACAAATTGCGTTGAGTTGCATGAAAATTCCTCTCAGCTTCACTAACCTTGAGACAGGCTTTTTCCTGACTATAGCACCCAGACCTGTTTTCTCATACCATTCTCTTTAGAAAACATTCATTTTTAATTTACGTTTCCCATTATTTTTATAATATTTATTTTTTAGTTGTAGTTGGACACAATAACTTTATTTTATTTATTTATTTTTATGTGATTCTGAGGACCGAACCCAGGGCCTCACAAGTGCTAGGCGAGTGCTCTACTGCTGAGCCACAACCCCAGCACCCCCTCCCTCATTCTTAAGGAATTTTCACTATGCATGGAGATCTTCTACTCCTGGTCTTGCTGGAGACTCTTGCAGCAGGGACTGGCCACATAGTTGAGTTCCGCTCTATGGGCTGGGAGTAGAGTGCTGCCCACAGACACCAAAGAGCTAGAAAACCAAAGGCCTTCCCCTATCTTCTGCCCTGTAATTCTAGTACCCTTGAACTGAAACTTTGGCAATACATTCAGAGAAGCTTGAATAGGGAAAGGCTTGGTTCATCTTGTGGCCTTTGCTGTCTCTTGAGGAACTGTGGGCAAAAGCGTGAAGCATGCATTAGCGGTGGGCACAACCCTTAGTGACCAAGGTCGGTGATGACTGACATGGGACTGGGCTGGCCTTGGAGGCCCAGAAAGGTGGATAGGACAGATGCCCACTCACATGGAAGACCCAGCCCCATATGTCTGGGCAAACTGGGTAACACAGGATGGGAGGAAGAGAACCACCAGGGCACATCTGCCTGTCAACTCTGGCCAGCCAAGCTATCTGGCTATGCAGTTTTTGAGGCCTGTAGAATGGACAGAATTCCCAACTCTCCTTTTGAGCTCTTTTCCTGAGTTTTTCAGTTAATCGCTATTAGGAAATAGCATCCAGACCTCAGGGAAGCCCAGGCTGAGGCAGAGGCCGCTAGAGTCAGTTGGATGACAGGCTTAATACCCCCTAGGAGTAGCAGAGGAGCTGGCCCATTGGGGCTCTAATCAATACTGAAGAACAAAAGAAAGGCTATGATACAGGCTTTTTCCTGCCTGGGGCTATCCCAGTCTGAAACCCTGTTCCTATATTTCCTCCATGGAGACTGGAGCAAGAGCCCCCAGCTGCAATATGATGGCAGAGTGATCTCCTCCTGCCTCCTGCTCCCTCCACCTGTCTCCTCTGCCAGAATCTGAGCTCTCTGGAGGGACAGCCACATCTTGCTTGTCCTCTTGGTCTTCCCAGCTTCTCACCCATGCAGTGCCTTGATGCAGATTAGAAAGGCTACCCCTACATCAGGGCACATAGTTTGGTGCCCTTGTGCAAAATATAACCAGCACAACTTCATGGCAGCCCCTGTCAGAGTGCCAGAAACACAGTGAGTGCCCAGGAAAATAGAACTACTGGAGAAAAAACAGTTTTTTATGTTTGTGAGAGCCACCATTTCATTAAAGGCCACACTGTGTGTTTCCAACAACCTCTCCATGAAAAAGAGGGAAGGATAGAGAAACTACCTGGGGCTAGGAAGCGAAGAAAACATTCATGAAACCCTTTTCTACTTCTCTGCCTAATGACCTCATTAGTAACTGCCAAAGAGTGAACATTTTGAAGGATCTCGTTCATTACAGTGGCTCCAAACTCCGCATTTAAAGATGGTAAATTAATTTTTTAATGTACTACTTTTCTCCTTTCCTTCCTTCCATCCCTCCTCTTGCTCTGGCAGGGAATTGTTTATGGGAGGTGCCAGATTGTTACAAATGGGGGAAAGAAACATTTCCAAGTTCCATGAGGGAAATGGCTCACAGATGCTGGTGGGGGTGGGGAAGGAAATGGCTTCCCTGAATCCAGAGATCCAGATGGGCTTGGAGGGAAGGAGGAATGGAGAGTCCAGATGTGCTGAGGGTGGCATCTCCCAGCCCATGAGCCTGATATTAGTGGAGTCACTTCCACCTCCAGCTTGCCAAGTCCCTCTTTGCCTCCCCTATCAGCCGGAGCCTTCATCTTCAAATACCACTCCAATACTCTGGGCCCTACCACATCACTTTCTAGATCCCTTTGGCCATTTTTCTGAGGAATTGGAGGTGCCTGTACTACAAGCACTGGAATGGGGTTAAGTTCAGAGACACAAAATTCTCCTCCTCTATGTCCCTACAGCACAGTGGCTTTGCACTCTGCTGCTGGTGGAACTTTTATACACTATAGATGTTTGAGCCACACTTCAGACAGTGAAATCAGAACCTCTGAGCTTCTGTAATTCTATCAAATCCCTAGATTCTGATGGGCACCCAGATTGGGGAACAAGACCCAGTGGCAGGAGGGGGCTGCCTGGTAGGGGCAGGGATGGTGAGACTGAACTCCTCAGTCCTATTAGGTCAACCTCCTCACCATCTCTGCCCCTACTAGGCAGGTCCCCTCCTGCCTCTGGGTCTCCAGGAAAGGCCCCACCAGAGTGTGCACCTTGATCATCCTCATCTTTCCAATGTCTGCCCACCTGTTAAAGTTGCCCTGAGCCTCCTCCTCAAGGAGGCCCCTGGGGCTTCTTCAGCTTATAGGATTCTCCCATCATTTGAGTCCTTCAGTGTTTTCAACCTGAGAATATTCACTCTTGATTCAACTTCTTTCTGCCTTGCAGTCTCTTGGATCTGTAGATGGATTTTATGTTCTCACCTGGACTTCAACCTCCAAGGGGATAGACTATGTCTTGCCCTCCCCTGGGGCCTTCCTTTCACTCAGCAGAGACCAGACACTTGCTAATATGCATTTGCACTCTGAAACTTCTCCCTCTGCCCTCTAGGAAAGGGGGACAGCAGTCTTCATATCTTATTACATTATCCTCTGCTGGACTGAGCTCAGGGCTCAGCTTCCCCACACTGATTTTAGTCCACCCTCCAGACAAGAGAGGGAAGCTGCTCTAGGTCAACTGCACACTCTCACTGCGTGACAAGTGCTGAGTATGAAAGGAGTAAAAGTAATCAGGAACAGGCCTTCAGGATTTTCTTGTGTGCCACACTCTGAATTGCAGGTTTGGGAACTGTCCAAAGTTCTAAGTCGCTGTCTGAGGTGCTGTTTTTTGTGCGTCAAGAGACCCGACTGACTGGTGGGTACTAGTTAGTATGTATGCCAACCAGTATGTCTCCATTTCCTTCCCCAATGAGTCTTTTCCTACTAAACGTTAAATCTGATTATTCTTTTAGCTTCTATTCCCTTAATTGTTTTAGCGCAAATTCACATTCTGTTAATTTGCAGTTACTCTTGGCCTGGCTATACAATTGTACCCAGTGTCTTTTCTTCCCTAAGGGAGTCACTGGAATGGGACTGTCATGATCAGACAGACACATCCCCAAGGGTGGGATTTTAGTCTCTTCTCTCCAACTGCACATTTTCAGAAGCAGGGCAGGAAGCTGGATCTCCTTGATCACATTTTGGGATCTACCAAGGAATGGACAGAGAGCAGGAGCCACATGCTCCTAGTTGTAACAGCAAGGACAGAATGGTGAGTATGCTTCCTGAGGAAGGGAGACTGCCAGATGTGCTCACCTGGGTAGGGGTGGATGCCATTGGCAAACACAGCTTCCGCGGCAGGTTGCCCGTTGGCCTGTGGGGGGAGGCCAGTGAAACCATTCACCCCAATGGGGGACGGGATGCTAGGCACGGCTGGTGCAGTGATGCCCGGAGGGGTGCTGCCACCTGGTTCCAGGGATGCAAAGGGGTTGGGAAAGAAGGGAGGCAAACAGAACAAAGGTGAGGAAGGCCAACCCATGGAGCCTGAGGATAGACTTGGACCTCTTACACCAGCTCAGTCTTAACTGTGAACCATGCCTTGGCTTATCTTTCTGCATGAAATGACTTCACACATCCCAATTTTATCCATCCTTCAACAAAGAGTTCAAGTCCCATCTACCCAATAGATGGGTAGGCTTCTCTTACCACACAGGCTATTCTCATTGCCCTTGGCTTTAATCATACTTGTTTATCCTTCATTCTTTTTCAGAGGCTTTTGCTAACTCTAGCTAAGTCAGGATTGGCTGGTCCTTGTTTGTCCCGTGAGGAGCTGATCTGTCTCCCCAAGAAGTTTTGCTGCTCAGATGAAGGTCTTAATTCTGGTTCCTTACATTGAGGCTCTGAAAGAGGTCACTGCAGAGTCCAGCCTCAGCCCTATCTCCTACAGAGTAGACACAAATGTTCCTGCAGTTGAAGCAACTGTGGTGGTCATGGTGAGGAGAAGAAAGTCAGGATCAGATAGCAATACCAAGTGTCCTCTCTATTCCAGATGGAACCCAAGATATGAATGCTATGGTGATTGCACTGAGGACCCCGAAGTTGGAAAGATCCTTCCTCTTCATGTAAAATCAGGGTTTCCCTTGGATAAGGACATGAGGATGGCCCACTGCCTAAATTCATGAGTATCCCTGAGGTTGGGGACCAAAGCTAAGGGGGCAGTGTTCAAGTTGAGCCCAGAGATAACACAGTCTTTCCTTGTTTTCAGCTGAGAAAGGAACAGTTCCCAGATGTCAGAGAGATCAGTACTATTATCTGAACATAGTCAGCTCAGTAAATGAGAGCTTGTGGTGTTGGGCTAGTTATTGGACTAGACTAGGGCTTCTCAAGTTTAACACTACAGTCATTTGGCCTGGAATTTCCTTATTGTGGGAGAGTTGAGCTGTGCATTGTAGGATGTGTAGCAATATCTCCAGCCTCTACCTGCCAGATTATGGTAGCATTCCCCTCTCTCAGCTGTGACAAACAAAAATGTCTCTGGATAGTGCCAAGATGTCCTGGGGGTTGGGGCAAAACTGCACTGTTGAGAATCACTGAACTGGACAATAGCCAAGCGCCAATCAAAAACATGCTTTGTGAGTTGGGTTTTTTCCAACCCCCATCATCCTTTGATAAAGGTTCTCTCTTGCTGGTTATGTAGTTGTTTTGGAAAAGACCAGTAACTCTAGGTTGGCTTAAAGTGAAATGAAAAATGGCTCTTCCTATGCCTGGGCTAGGGACACAGAACAGGCAGGGCTCTTCTCCTTCAGACCTTGAAGGGCATATCAATTTCTGTGCAGATATTGATTGTTAGTAGAGGTCAAGATGAATTAATTCCTAACAATTCACGGATAAACAAGATCAGAGATATTCTCACCCTGAAATTCCTACCTTGGACTCCATGGACCCATATCCCATCTTCTCTTGCGTCCTCACTGATCAGAATATTGTTGAGACAAAGTGCCAGGCAACAAGGCCAGCTTGGGCCTAGGCACCATGTGCTCTTGCCCCAGGATGATTCACTAGTAGCTGAAATTAGGCCCTAGCCTAGACCCAGGTGCTTTTTCATTGGGCCAGATCCTATGTCGATACCTGTGGGCTCACCTGAGGTTGGGGTCATAGGTGCGGCCGCCAGGCCATTCATGTTGAGGGCCGCCATCTGCTGCATCTGGGCGGCAGCGAAGGCAGCCATGGGGTTCAGGTAGCCACCCTGTGCGACTGATGCCATGAGAGCCGCTTGCTGCTGCATCAGCTGGGGCAGAGGGAGTGGAAAAAATATCACACGCTTCCAGAGGGGTATCCCTCCCCACCAGGGGGCTCAGCTCCTGTGGACCAACTTCCCAGGCCCTGAGCCCCAGGGAGCTGAGACATCTCCTGGTCACCACGTCCAGGGAGCCCTAATGCCTCCCCCATTCCTGCCCTAGTCCTCATTGGCTACTACTGGGGAGATGACTTCGTGGGAGATGACTGCATTCAAAAGTAATAGTAAGGTCTTTGAGATTCTGAAGTTGTTGTGGAGGGTAAGGGAAGGGGACTGGCTTCATGGGTAAGGCCTCTCATTTGTGAGTATGTGACATCCAAAGTGCCAGAGAGTTGGATAAGCCTCTGTAGAGTTAATGGCATAGATTTCTGCCCCAAATGTTCTTAACCCAGAGTCTGTTGGGCAGAAGCTACAGGAGAATCATGAATAGACCCCAGACACCCTCAATGTTGTCAAAAGGTGAGTGGGGAGCAGGAGAGGCTGTTGGAAGTGGCCACAGCTGGACACTCCTGAGGAAATGAGGTGAGCTGGTATGTTTAGAACCAGAACACTAGCTGACTTCAGTGCCATTGTGTGGGGACTGTGGTTACAAGTCTGGAGGCAGCTGGGGAGATCCTGTCAGAGAAGGCTCTACTGTGGAAGAAAGAAGTTGGTGGGCCAGAGGCCTGGGAGAAGGGGGGCCTGAGGTGTCACAGGGGAAGTACAGGTGTCACTTCACAGGACCCTTGCTGCGAATGACCAGAGACTGATAATATCCTTCCATGCATGGGGGCAAGTCAGGGATGAGGAACAAACACTGGCATCTTCCCTCCGCCCCATCAGTATTTCCTAGGATTCTGCACTGCTTTGGCTAAGTGGGAGGGGCATTTGGGGTATTCCATCTTGCTGCCCAGCGGAAAGCCTTCTCTCTAGTTCCTCTCCTAAACACAAAGACAACAAACCACCTCTTCCTGGCAACCACCCACAACTGGACCAGCCTTCTCTTAATCCTTTGTGAGGTTATCCTTCCTGGGTTTATGCCTGGCTCCACTCATTCCCCAGGGCAGAGTAACATTTTTGGTTATGTGTCCCTCCTCTCTGGATCTCTGGGAGGAAGCTCCAGAACCTTCGCCCATCTGTGCCCCCACTTACTGCCTGAGCGTAGGCGCCGTAGGCCCCGAAGGGGATGGCCATGGGGTTGAACATGCCCATCTGGCCAGCCATCTGCTGCATCCGCCGCATCGTGCGCTCCTTGTCAGTGTCTGCGAACTTGACCACCAGACTGGACGAGGCTCCCTGCAGCCAGGGTGGAATGTGAGACCCACCGGCCCCAGCGCTGGTCCCCAGCTGTCAGCACCCCTGGCCTGGGCCTCCTGCTTTCTCTGTCATGCGCTTTAACCGGGTGGGGGCAACAGCATGGTGCCCAGGAGTATAGGTCTCAGCTGTCAACCTGACAGTGGCATTTTCTATCTGGGTCACCACACACAGGGCTATTCCTTAACACATCTCTGGGCCTCAGTGTCCTTGTCTGAGAAACAGTTAAGGGAAATGCTCTCCTGTCTCATAGGGAGACTATGAGCACTGGCCCTCTGGCGGGGTCCTGCGGGGCAGATGTCTAGGTTTCCACCTGGCCCAGCCCCCGCCCCAAGGGCCACACTCACTGGCATGGTCTGGCTGCCATGCAGAGCGTTGATGGCGGCTTGTGCCTCCGCGTGGGAGGAGTACTTCACAAAGGCGCACCCTGCGGGGACAGAAGACAGGTTGAGCCGAGCCAGGGGCCAAGGAGAACTGGAACCCTGAGGCAGGGCAAAGGAAGGGCCCAAGAGAGAGGGCGCAACCTAGATGAAAGCAGAATGAGGTGGGGGGGGGGGAGAGAGAGACCAAGAGACAGAGCACACAGAACGGAAAGACGGGCCCAAAGGCTTGAAAGCACCCCAAACCCTGCCCTCCCGATCCGGACTTGGACAGTTCCGAGTCTTGCAAGCCTCGCTCCCAGACTCCCTCCCCACGTGGCTGCACGTCCCGCCCACGCACCCTTGCTGTTGCCGTCTGGCCCGCGCAGGATGGTGCATTCCTCTATGTTCCCGAAGGCCTCGAAAAGGCGGCGTACGTCGTCCTCTGACTGCTGCTTATTGAGCATGCCCACGAAGAGTTTTCTATCTTCTAGAACAAAATTAGGAGATGCTTACCGGGGCCGGGTGGCGCGGAACGGTCCCGGGGGTGGGAGGGAGGAGGGCACGGCGGGAGGTGGAGGATAAGGGGCGGGGGAGGGAGGATTGCGGGGGGAAAGGGCCTGGGGGTTCACAGCCGGAAACGGGGAGAGAGCAGGGAGAGGACCCCCCCATAGCTAGAGCGGGTTTCCAGAGGGAGGAGTTGAGCAGCCAGAGTGTGGCCACAGAGGAGCAGGATGGGAGAGTAGGGCATAGCGATGGGAGCAGGAGAGGAAGGAGGGAGCTGGGTGGCAGCAACTCGGCCTCCTCCTGCCTAGAAGGCAGGCTGCACGCTTGAGGAGCAAAGCCCCTGGTCTGGCCCTCGCCTAGGGCAGAAGGGTAGTCTGGGCTGCCTGTTCCTTTCTCCCCCTCCTTTTAACACACATTGTCTTCCCCAGGTGCCAGAATTTTTTACAGTGGCCACTTTGCTCATGCTGTTCCCTCTGCCTGGCGAGCAGTCTTCATAAGGCTGGATTCTTCTCTTCTAGGTCTCAGTTTAAAATATCGCCTTCTCACCATGCCCCTCGTGCCTCCTCTCTCTTATTCTCAGTCCCCCATCCCTATAGCCAGAATTTCAAAAGAAAAATTATCTACTGCTTTGCCTGTGTAGTTGAATTTTGTGGGGCCCTGCCTGGCCCATCCCAGGTATGCTCCAGAGGGAAGAAGGTCCAGCCTTTCTGCTGCGACAGAAGAAGTGCTCAGTATCATCAAGAAACAGAATGGATGAAGCATGCCCTATGCCCTTCCTAGGTGTGCACTTCCTTTCTGTCTCCCTTGCTTTTACCTCCATTTTGATGTCCAGTGCTTGGTCTGGACCTTCCTAAATGTTCATCCTGTAAAATTCAGCCTGGGGCACTTCCCAGGAGCCTGTTTCTGTGGGTGCTTCAGCAGCACCCATGCTGTGATGAGTGTCAATTTGTTTGTGGACCCCAGTCAGTTATGTGCTCAAGGTGATGGGGAATCCCACTGGGCTGCATGGATCTGCAGCAGCTTGTAAATGAATGCAAAAGGATTCCTGCACCCAGCACATCCTTTGTTCTTTCTGCTCTTCTTAGGACTGTTGTAACAAAAGAAGAGTGGCAGAAGTGGTGCCCCTGACTTATAACTTCCTAGACTATGTTATAAAAGGGAGCAGCTCTTGGCTGGCTCTCTCTTTGGGGGATATTTGCTCTGTGGAGACCAACCACCATGATGTGAAGCCCTCCAGTGAGCCCACACGGACTCCACTGATGCACCCAGTGCACCCAGCTGAAGGCCAATGTCAGCCACCAGACCTGTGAGTGAATGAGTCCTTAGATAATTCCAGCTCCTGACCTGTGAGTCTTCCACCTGAGACTCAAACATTCTGGAGTAGAGGCAAGACTTCTGAGCCCTGTGAATTCCTGACCCTCAGAATCTGTGAGCATAATAAACAGTTGGTTTACACCACTTGGTTTTGGGCTAAATTAGAATGCAGCCATAGTGACTGGAACGAGGTCCCAGTGGTGGCAGCTCTCAGCAGGCACTCACTAGATGTTTATGGACTGGTAAATGATTGACACAGTGAAAGCTGCAGAAATGCTGACCCCCAAAACTGCAAATAGTAATGTGTTTGTGATTTCCTCTGAACACAAGGGCACTCAGACCCTGATGTCCCTCTGTTCCCAAGGTGGTTGATTCGTGTCCCCCCCCCCCCCATCTCCTTCCAGAGAGTCCTCACTGCCCAGAGAGTTCAGATAGAACTAAGGGACTGTTCCCTGGTCTAGAGCAAAGCCAAGCAAGCAACCCCAGGTCCTCTGCAGAGAGCTCTTACCCTGTGGGTACCCCTTAGCCCAGATGCACTGGCACTGACTGTGTTCTCAATGATGAGGTGGTGCTGGATCCCTGTTCCTTCCTTAACCTGCAGGACCCATTGGCAGTTTCTGTTACCAGCTCTGGGACTGGGAACAACATCAGCCTGGCCCTTCACATAGTTGGGCTGAGGCAGAAGTTCTGGTGCCAGAACCCAGCCCTATACCTGCCTCAGCCTGGGCTGCTCTATCTGACTCTGGGTCATGGCAGGACTTTGGGCATATTTCACCTCATCTCCAGTCCTGTGGGGTTCCCAGCTCATCAACTCCAAACCAAGGGGAAAAAACAGAGGGAGAGAGTGAATGGGAGGAAGTGAAGAGGAATAGAAAGAGATGAAATTAGAAGTGGAGAGGGAGAGCCGAGATGGCAGGAGACAGAGGAAAAGGAATTTGAAACAAAAAGCAAGGAGAAGAGAGGTGGGCAGAAAGAAGAGAAAGAAACAGAGACCAAGGTGGGGCCCTAAGGTTAGACTCAGGGCAGCACACAGCAGTAGCAATGTTTCACTTGAATGAAAGGGGAGCTTTTCCTCCTCTTGTAGAGCAATTGAAACTTCTCTGAGGCAAAGCCCAGTCTCCTCCTTCCCCCAGCCCTTGGCTCCCATTAAATGGAATTTCCAGAGAAACTTTGAAGTGAAACCCCGCCCCTTGCAAATCCCTGGCCCTCCAGTTTAGAAATTCCACTTCCTCTATTGGAAAGAAAAAGGAAGGAAAGAGAAGCACCTCCTCCCCCAGCCTGATTTAAATGCTGGGACGCAGCTCCTTGCCTTCCCTCTCCTGACGTCTGAATGTATTCCTTTATTATCATTATGACAGCTTTCTGATTGCATTAAAATTCATCCACACGTGTCTTCTATCCAGCCTCTTTCCTTTTGCCAGTGGTTTTTTTTTTTTTTTTTGCTAATTTCTCTTCCCCTCCCCTGAAGTCCTTTGCCTGCACATTTCTTCATTGCAAGCCTGTGTCCCTCTGGAGACCTTTCTAAACGTGTAGGAGGCCAGGCTTCCCCTCTCCTGCCCATCCCAATTTCCTCAGGGAAAGTGCAGCTAGTCTGCCTTTCTGAAGGGTTGCAAGAAGACACCTCAGACCCACTTCTTCCAGGTATTCTCGAATTAACCCCACCTCACTCAAATGTTTGTTTTAGGATCCTTGAATGTGTTGAGTTTGTATTCTCTGTTTCTAGTTGGGTTTTTGGTACTGTGGTCCTAAGGCTTGTCTTTGGCTGGAAGGATTCTGAGTTCCCAGCAGATCTCCTTCTGGGCAGGCTCAGGGATTCACACCTGACTATGTAACTAATTGCTCCTTGCCTCAGTTTTCTAGATCTGTGAAATGGGGACAAATATATTCTCCTCACATAGCTAGGATTCTGGGAGATGCTGCAGGGGTAATGGCCTGGAAAGCAGTAATAGTGAGGACTAGTTGGGTTTCTCTAGATAGAAGAAAAAGGAAATGGGATACTGTGCCCCCTTGGTTTTCCCTGCCCTATTTTGGCCAGGAAGATCACCCCTGCTGTGAGTAGACAGAGTAGACAGGTCCTCCTCTGCAGAGAGGATCCACACTTAGGGTAGAGAGGGCACCTGAGATAATAGGATGGACCAGACTTGGGCTGTGGGTGACCAGTGAAGAGAGATTATCACCCTGTAATCTACTCTCCCTGCCCACCTTCTTTCTGGTTCCCTAGGCAATGTCCCAAGCTCTGTTAGATGACGAGTGGTACCATTCAGCTGGTGTCTTGGATCTGATACCAACTTAGCAAGAGTCTCAGAGACTGCCTGAGCTTCCTGATGAGTGCTCACCTTCCTCCAATGTGGACACAGATCCTAACTCCCAATGTAGGCTGAACAGACCCTGGCCACACCCAGCTCTCTAAGCTAGGGACCTTGGGTGATGGGGAGGCTCTGGTGGGCTCCCTCTCCTGGGTGCCCTAAGTCACCGTCTCCCATGATCAGGGTGTAAGAGGGCTGCTGCTCCTCTGAAAAGTTATTCAGGTAGACATTGCTGGAACTGGCCAAAGGAGATACGGTGAGGAAAGTCCTCAAAGCCAGTGTGCAGGTGGGCTGAAGATGCCCCTGACTGAGAGATCACTGAGACCCCTGGGGGTTCCCAGGATATGGTGAGCGATCAGAGGCCAGCATTGGGAGTCTGTCATCCTCCACTCAACACAGGCCAGCTCAGGTCAGGACACCATGTTGTGCCACCTTCCAACTCCCAGGGCCAAGGCCAGTACCCAGCACAGGCAAACATTGATTGTCAGGCTACACAGGACATGCCAGAGGCCTGGAGGAAGTGCAGACATCTCTGTACCTCCCACCCTGGGGTCTTTATATGGACTCCTCCTGGGCATGGGGTAGACCAAAGGGAGCATGTTCCTGTAGTCATTCAGCAACTGCCTGACAAACAACTGTCTCTGTACCAGAAGTTTCTCTAAGCACTGCTTCTATAGAATTGAACAAAAGGTGGAGATACTCACTGGAGCTGACATCCAGATGGGGAGCCAGTACCTCCATAATCAATAGGTCCTCTAACAAGACAACGGCTAGCTGGGATGCCACATTGCAGCCCCCAGAACCAGTGTGCCTATCTAAGGAGGAATGAGGCCACAAAGTGGTAGAGCTGGCAGAACCCTGGATAACACCAAGGTCTTGTGCTTTTCCGGAGAGGCAGCACCTGGGTGCACAGGAGTGCCCTCAGCTGAACCTCAATCAATCCCAGCCTCTTGGTCTTCAGTGGCATGGCCCTTGCTGCTGACTCCTGCTCTTTTAAAATGGAGTACTTATGTCTGCAGGTATGTGGGAGCACCTGGGACTCTGGGGACAGGGAGTGTGGTTCCCAAGAAGGACTGGAAAACAGAAAATGGGAGCCAGTCCCAACCCTGCCTGCAACCAGGGGGAGGGCAGCTTGGCTCTGTGCCCCATATCCTACCCCTACAAAGTGGATAAAAGTATCGGATGGCAGTCTTTCCAGGAGAGGCTGGGCCAGAGCACCTAACATTTACTGGATTTCTCCTCTGGCCACTCCTTCAGCAAATATTTATTGAGTACTTACTCTGTGCCTGGGAATTGCCTGAACAGAGGACCTGAGATAAGTCTTGAGGGCCCTTCTGGATTTTCTCTTTAAATAGGTTGGGAG